GCCTGGGGAGCGGCCCCTCCCCTGTCACTGGGCCCTGTCTGCGCCCCTTTCTGCCGTCACCTCTCCGCACCGGCTCTGCCCCCTTCTCGCACCAAGGCCTCGGCCGCGCCACTGTACCCTGATCCCTAACCTCGGAGGAATTTCCTACGGCGCCCCTCCCCCACCCGTGACCGCACCGAACCTGGCTGCCTCTGGGAGCACCCGGAGTGGACTTGGCGTTCTCAGGTCCCCCCACCCCCGCTTTTCTTTGCCCCGACTTCTGTCCCCTCCCGTCCTCTTTGTTAGCCCGGCCTTTGTCCCTGAGGGCTGCGGCGCCCGGCCTCCTCGGACACCTAGGTCCCGTGGGCCGTTTGCTAAGGCGCAGGAAGGGACCTCTCCCGGGCAGGTGTTCTGGTTCCGTGATGACGAAGGGAGAGGCCGGGAGCCCGGTCGCCAAGCCGTAAGGGATCGAAAGCGCCTACCTTTGGCCCTTTCCGCCCTCCCCCTGCTCTGGTTCAGTACCTCAAAAGCCCGGAGCCCGAAGGGACAGGACGGCGGGCCTGTCCCCCTTCTGCGCTGGGCTCCTGTGAGCGGGACAGACGGACAGCACAGCGTGCCGGTCCGAGGTACTGGGAAAGGGATGCGAGTGGACCGTGGAGTCATTCGTCTCCGTGCTGGGGCTTCTGCGTGAACACGCCCCTCAGGGTTACTGTTTTTTTTTATGATTTCGGCGTGTACTGTTTGCTTCTCAGCGTCGAGCTAAACATCTGATTTCTATTAACAACCAGCATTTATCCATTTCGTGCCCACAGCTTTGACAGTGGAGGTTCTGGGGAGAAAATGGTTTCTCTCGCCGGTGTGTGTGTAGGAGAAATTGATGTGTTTCTTTCGGTTTTGCGCTCGGATGTCGGGCGCATGGAAATGATACCGTGCGTTCGTCTGCGGGGAGGATGTTGGAAACCGGTGACCACACGCCTCTCTGCGTTTTGTCGGAAGGAGAGTGGTAAAGGGCCTCCTGCGGTGCTCCCTGACGTCTGAGCACACCGCCGAGAGTTTACACGTTGAGGTGCTGTCTTATCTTAGGTCTCTAACACTTGCTAAACAAAGACCTTCTTCTCAGGACTTAGGGACCCGCTGCCACCACAAGCTGCTTTCTTTGCTTTTGTGAATCCAGCGGGGCCCGAGCCTGCAAAAGCTGCTTTTTCCATTGGAAAATAGACCCTTGGAGACAGGTCCACAGGGACTGTCAAGCGTTCCGTGTGGGGCTCTGGATTTTCTTTGATAAAGTGATAGTTTTGAAAAATAAGGACTCCGCTTCGATCATCTTGTAAATATGTTAAGCCCTGTTCTTTGGAAGATTGCGTCGTGTGGGCATTTACAAAACAAATAATCCAAATATACGTCTGTTGGCTAAAATGGCGGAGACTTTGCCTGTGATTGGCCAAGCGAGCGTTCGTTACTTAAATTTTTTTTCACGTAGAATGTGCGAGCTAGAAAGGATCCAGCCCGTCACTGTGCAAACCGGAACAGCGACAGGAGAGCAAGGACGTGACTTGCCTAAGGTCACTAAGGGTCGGCAGGCGGTAGAATCCTGAGGTCTACCAGTTGGGACAAAGCGTGCTTGCGACTTGAGAGACTAAGGCCTAGTTAGAGCGGAGGGACAACGGGAAAGGACCTGGGGAGACGAGAGAAGACAGACTGGGGAAGGAGCGTTAGGGAAGGGTGGGCGTCCCGGAGAAGAGCAGAGTGATCGCCATGGTGGCCGCTGAGGCACCATCGCCAAACCAGTGCGGCCTGGAACTACATCCTTCAGCACGAGGCCTTTCAAAAATAGCTTTGATTAATTAGAACCCGAGTAAGAACAGTTCTTCTCTGCCCCCCCCCCATTTTTTTAATGGCCAAATCGAGATAGAATCCATACTGGATACAATTCACCCAACTGGGTTTACGACTCAAGGGCTTTTGCTGTATTCACAGAGCTGTGCATGCATTTTTAGAGTCAATTCCAGAACATTCTCCTGACCCCTGTCCTTTTAATACATAGAGAGGATGCAAGTGTTGGGGGACGGGGGTGGATAGGTGTAGGACAGTTGCTTCCTAAGGTTCTGCCGCTGGGCACTTAGGGGCTGCATGGCAGCTCAGTGGGAATGCCCTAACCTTGACATTCTGTCATAGACCTGGTTTGCTTAATGTGGGTTAAACCCATAATGAAGATAGGAACGGCCTCTGTCTATTTGAACTTTGTACTATGCCTAGCATGGGTGCTTTACAAGTATTTTTATGATGAAGCTTTGGAATATATTAAGATAGAAATAGAAGTACTGAGTGATAAAGGTATCATGGTGAGAGATGTCGTTTAATAGTTTCACTCCTGATTGCTCCAAACTGTTGTGGACACAGCGGTCCTACCTATTAGCTAAAAATAGCGTGACGTTCTTGGGCATGTATAATCCTGCTTAAAATTCAAATTGAAAATTTAAACAACTGGCTCTTGGCAAAGGCTCTTTTCCAATCTATTCTAAAATGAAAGTTTTCTGTGACTTGTGGAATCGCTCCACCAAGGAGAGGATGGGCTTCGTGTTCACGGCAGTCTGGTTTACAAACGCTCTCCCGCATTCCCCGCATCCCGCTCCTTCATGTCAGCCCCTGTTTATACACTGAGCTGGTGTTTCTCCGGAGAGCCCTCTTGTTTATAGAGTAGGACCTGAACCCCAAATCAGGAGGCGAGCCAGAAACTGGTCACTAAGGCAGCTAAACTGGGAACCGGCCCTTTGTGACCAGTGTTTTCAACCGGAATGTAAACCCAGGCTCGCTGGGGATGCCGGGGGTTAAGAGTTTTCCATACTTTCCTCCGTGGAGGCGTCTTCAGGTGAGGCCCGCAAGAGTTAAGGATCAGTGTTGACGATCGCTCGGAGCACATAAAAGGGATGTTGCCGCATAGCATTTAAGTAATCTTCCCATCTCAGCATTCGGGAATGGGGGACATAAACATAGCTGCCGCCCTATCGCACGATCTGTCCCGGGAGCAGAGAGTTCTCAGTTTATCAGGGCAAAGAATCGCGGTCCTGAAGTGCCTGTTGCCGTCCCCAAAGAATGCTAATGTTGAAAAGGAAGGACAGAACCCTGTTGGTGCAGGCTTTCTGTGCCGAAGGCCTTGAAGGCAGCTACTATTGTATTCATCTTTCTCCCCCGCCTCCCGGCACTTCGTCCAGAGCATGGCGCGTGCTTTTTAATTTTAATTTAATTGAATTTTTTCAATTAATTAATTTTTTATGGTGACATTGGTTACCTTGCGCGTGCTTTCTCAACTGAACGACTGAGTATCGCTCAGTTCCCGAGGGCTCCGTAAGCATTAATATTCAGGACATCCCTGTGGGATGGGCGGTCTTCTCCCCATTTTACAGATGAGGAAAATGAAGGTCACAAAGGTTGGGTGACTCGCCCAAGGTCACCCAGCCAGTAAAGGGCAGAAGCAAAATTGCAGGCAGGTTGTCTGAGAGCTCCGGGTCCAGCGCTTTCTCTGGTAGGTCAAAGCCACCTCCCAGCACGGCACAGAGGCCGTGAGCCCGTCTCCCCACGCAGATGCACCTGGATGCAGCAGACGGCACTGCCGAGGCGCTGCAGGTGCTGGAAGCCGTTAGCAAATGGCTAAAAGCAACTTCCAGATGTCACCTTTTGAGGCTTGATGGCCACAAACTCCTGCAGCGGAGGAGGAAACGACCTGGCGGCATTGGGGCTGCCGGAGACCTGAGGGAGGACCCCGGGGAATAGTGTCGTGGGGGCCCAGGGGGAGCCACAGTGGCAGTTGGTTTGCTCAGCAGCCAAGATGTGCAGGCTTCAGGCCATTCCTGCAGCGAGTAGCATTTCTCATTTCTCCAAGCGAAACGGGTTGTATTCGTCACTCACTGTTTACGACCTTAGAGTTCGCTCATTCAGGGTGCAGCGCAGTGGGTGGTGTTTAGAAT